GGTTAATCGAGCTCGATATCACTTTGCGACCACGCAAACGATGCGTACACACCGTATTACGTATGTACACGCGCGTATATAGGATACAACGGTGGCTCGCGCAGATAGCGTTACGGTCAATATTTCACCGCAAATTTCCCCCGAGCGTGCATAATTTCATTTTTAATCCGCAACTGGTACGAAAAGAAGAACACCGAGCCACCGTCGTCGTTTACTTAACGCTGCGCCATGCGACACGACCGTTGGGCGTGTTTCCCTGTGTTTCCAAAGATTTACGAGCATCGCGAAACATGCACCCGTATACAACTACCTACGCGTCTATTAGGTTCTCGCTAAAGCAATACATCTTTTCCGCTTACGATCCGCTATCGATCCGATAGAATCGACGGACGTCTGGTTAAACTCGCGTGTATCCGTAGAAAATTTTCGATTTAAAATGGGCCAAAATGGCGGACCGATTACGTAAAGTTCGCGTAACTCGATGCATCGAAGTACATCTAGAGCAAAATGATAACTCGAGGAAAAGTATCCGCTCGACTCCCCTTCCGACAAAACGAACGAGAACGTCAACTTTCCTTTCGCGCTTCGCTGAACAACGGCGCACAATGTACCGACAGGCTCGGCGACGTCTTCCAAGCGAAACGTAACATAGAAACGAGACTAAAAGCGTTCGACGTTTTCAATATCGGACTGCCGTCGCTAATACCATGCGTCGTCGTCGAAAAGATATTCGAACGGCGTCGATGCAGATTCAAACGCGAGCTACCGATTAAAAGTTTCGAACGACCCGATTCGACGTTCTATAGAAGCGAATGTATAACCGTCGTACGTACAAAATTAATGAAAATATATGCTTTTTAATGCAAAAATAAAGTTAGTCATTTTTGTGCGTCGCGACAAATTCAATGAAACGTACGACAAAAAATATCGGAAAACGATGATTCGAAATCCTTGAATCCTGGTACAGGTTTAGTACTCCATACACGTGTTACGCAAGATTAATATCGTTTCCTCGCGCGGAAAATATATGGAACGCAAAGTCTCATTTTTGTATGGCGCATCGATAAAGATCGCGATATTTCTGCCGCGAATAGCGCCTATTTCGATAAATTTACGCGTTCGATGCATCGAACGAAGGCCGATAACGTCCGCGGTTAACGAATTCGAGCACAGTTTCCCGCCAATCTCGAAAAGGCAATAACGTCATTACGAGCAGCGAAGAGGAAATGGCCCGTAAATGCTTAGATATCTCCCTACCGCTTCTCTTCTCTTTTTTCTTTTTCCCTCGAATCGCACCGAATTACCCGGGACTGCTTTGTCCTCCTTTCAATGGAGCCCTATCGCGAGATAACGATCGCCTTCCCTTTACGCTTCGTCGTTTGTCCAAGAACCCTGACGTTTCCCTGCTCGACGTTTCTGGATACGCTTTCAGCGAGTTACCTTTATCGGTGAGCGTTGCTCGGAAACAACCTGATACCCTTCACGAAAGAACTCCACTTTGCCCTTGTACGCGCATCGAATTTTAAAGTCCTACGAATTACAATTACTTTTCGAGCGTTCTGAAAATTAACGCTTTCCATTGTACGAATACGTACGACCGTTGCAAAAAGCGGCAGTGCGTTGGAAGCGAATAGCGAAGCGAATAGTAGCAATTACACGCTTCCGTACGATTCGTTCGCAAGTATCGGCGTTGTTCACGGAAACGGTTCAATTTCGTTTCAGCGAGGGAAAGTAACGAGACGAATAAAATATAGCGAACGATAATGAATTCGAATTCTGGGAAATACCATCCGGTATGAATAGGTACGGGAACCGACAGGTTGGCTGAAACGTGCTCGCGAATCGCCAGAGTAGCAAATCATGGGTTAATTGAGTTGCGCGTTATACAAATCGGAGTAATAAACATCGATTATATCTGGCACGAGCAATGCCGGGTAAACGCGCCGGACCAAACGCACGATATGTCCGATATTGGTCAATTTATAAGCTTAATCGACCGTATCGACGACTAGACCCGAATAGAAATATTTTTAACGACGAACGAAACGATGTTCGTAGCAGTTAGGACACTTGTCGGAGCGCTTTGTTGGATTTACTTTCGGAGGAAGAACGAATTACACCGAACGAGATCACGAATCGCGGTCGCATTAAAGCAACGGGATGCTCTTAATTATTTTTTCTTATTAGCGTTCGTCGAGTCGCCTTTGTCCGACGTTTCTCTCTGTACGTTCGCGTGACTACACGAAATACCTTCGTTTCCGTTCTCGTTGAATCGTTTTACATAGCGACTGACGGTATCGTTTGTTCCGTTTTATTCGAGCAAGATTGCAAAACGATAACGAAAGGATATCACGAAGAATGCTTATGACGCGTCGACCGTATGTTAAGTTTTTAGGAGGCGCGCGTGCCAGTGTGGCGCGCGCAGGCGTATTTTAAACGAAAGCGCGGTAATGTACGTATAAAGGACCTAAACTAATTTGTTCGTCTCCAGCCTTTCCCCGTTCTCGTCACGACCTCTTGCGTTCGAGCAACGATATTCCATGAATACTGAGTACCTGCAGCTTCCGCATCAAGTACCAGTGCATATGCATCGGCTTAAATTCAACGGGGGTCTGTATGCATATATCCTCGTCCAGAGTTTCTGCTCAGCGCTTTTCTTAAACGCTTTCCAACCAGCCCACTGGATAACGGGCTACCGCCAGGATCTACGTTGGAAAATTGATTTCGAACTTTTTTCAAACGACGCATCGAATTCGCAAGCGTACGCGTTTACCGTCGCGCCGCGAACGACCGTACTCGATTACGACGACGAATTAACTCCGTTAACGAGTTCGGTCGAAACTTTTCCCCCGTTCTCCGTTCGTTCGAGGTGTTAGCCTCTTTGATCAGCCGCGGGGAGACGTTACGAGCGAGACGGAGCACGTTGAAATACAAATAAGGAACAATGGAAAGACAGAAACGGTTTCTCCGAGGAAAGTAGCCGCGACCCCACGGCACGAGCTAATTGAATCGCGGTAATTCAATTAGCTGCCACTTTAAGATAATAATGAGAAGATGGCGCGAGTAATTAGTATCGAAGCGTTCATAAGCTCTTGGATCAGGGTTCTCGAGAGCGTCGACTCGAGAAGAACGAGATTTCCAGTTAAACCATTCCTTTATTTTCTTTCGCCAGCTGGTAAGAAAAAACTCTCTCTCGACGAGTTTCCAACTATGTTGGCCGTAAAACTGAGAATCGTTGATTTCGTTCGCGTACGAACACCTCGCGCTTTGCTCCGTTGGTTAATGAACATCGAACGATCTAACGAACAAACGAAACAACTGTGTTCATTCTGTCTGCGCAGAGAAACACGATATTTCGATAAACGATAAACGAAAACGTTCGAGCATTAAATAAGAGAAACAAAAGCGTGATCGATGTAAAAGTCAATTTTTCGGATTACCGATCGCGAAGAGATTCGAAAAAAGTTGAAGCCATCGTTGCACGCGGAATTGGCTGGATGCCAACTGCAACGGCAGCCACGTTACGTTCGTTCGCGAGAGAGTGTTAATAAAAATCCGGAATTCTAAACAGACCGTTATTTTGTCCTCGCTGTTCCGCGTATTTACACCGCTCGGCCGTGCTCGAGAAAACACGAACAACGTACGGGATCGTTTCGAACGTAAAATTCGAAAATCACGACGATAGCTCTCTGCCCCGATATCGTACAACTTTCAAACTTCTCTTCCCTCGACGTTCGAGCTTCTTCGAACTATGTATCTATTCTTCTTCTTCCCCTCTCGAGATAAATGCCACAATTCGCTTTTCCCCCCTCAGGCATTTACCTGGAACGCAACAAGCGAAGTAATAACGACGCAGAGTTTCGAGGGAAAAATTATTCGATTAAATTCGTGGCCAGAGTCGTCTCTCGGGTTTTTCTCGGGGTCCGATCACGAGGCTCGTTCAAAGTGTTAAGAAGTTTTTAAAAAGAGAAGAGGCGGGCCGAGGCTCGAAGAAAGCAAAACGAGAAGGAACGAACGGAGAAGACGAATAACCAAAGTATCGTAGATAACGACTTGCGCATCGCGGTTTGTTGCCCCGTAAATCGCTTATTAAAAACAAGGAGCATCGATAAGGACATTCGGCGAAACGCGAACGCAAAAAGTTGAGCGAAATAATTTTGAAACGTTCGTTTGCTCTAACTCGATTCCAGGTAGCATCGGTATTCTCCGTTCTCGAGGATGCTCGTCGAAAACGGGAAGCATTTATTCTTACAAAAGAATCGTCTCTGCGGAGGATCGACCGATATCGATCGTCCCGACAGGATGTATTTAAACGTTCGCGTTTATTTCGTTCTCCTACGGTTCGAAAGAAACAACCGATAACGCGAAAGAGAATCGTTAACCCGTCGTTTTCCGCTTGGCCCCTTTAACGATTCACCGTCGAGAATTCCACGAGCCTAACGATGCCATACGATCGTGATAATCGGCTCGTTAACGCGGTGGACGTGCAACGAATACATCCACTATTTACCTATTCGAGTTAAAACAGTTTCGAGTGTTTTTTTATTCGATCGTTCTACGCGGTAAATTACGCGATGAAATATCGCGAGCAAACGCGCCAACATTGTTCTCGCATTTGCGAGCAGGCGCGTACAAAAATATCCGTAAATTTTTCCACGCGTTATCGCACGCCCCCGGTGGAATACTATTATTACCTCCCTATATCGATGATCACGAGCGCAAAAGACTGTCCCCGTTAACGTCGCTCGAACGCGACCCGTGAATCGACCACCTTCTACGTACGGATTAACGAGAATTAACTCGACACGACGATTTATCGCGACTTCCGGTTCGAAAATTTTTCTCGCGTCGATTTACGAATCCTCTCGGCGAGGCTCTCAACGGTTGTTACGTTTAATAAATTTAATCGTCGCGTTTGATTTTAGCGCGAAGTTCTCGAAATTTTCAGCGCGTTTCGAAGAATATCGATGTACCTATCGGGAAATATCGATTACACTCACTCGTGCAGACTCCCTCGTCGACTTCCCGTGCATTGGGCAGCAGGTTTTTGATCACGCATTGCAGACCGTCAGCACAGCTTCCGGAAAAGCCAAACAGACCACCGCACGGTTCTCCCTCGACGCGCGCACACACCTTGCAACATCTGCAAACAAGCACGCGGCGTTTCAATGCGCGTGAAATTGCTTTGGAATTTTTCTTCGCGAACGTACCGCGATAAAAACGCGACCAGGTTAAGCGCTTACGAGTCGTATAGGTGTAGGTCGCTTCGGCGATTTACAACGTCGACGTTCTTCGCCGTTACGAAAACAAAATCAAACGTAATAAAGTCACCGAGGGTGTGTTTTATACCGGTCGTCCAAAGATAACGCTTACGGTAGGAGAATCGAGAAGCTCGGCTAACTGGAATAAAGAACGAAATAGCAAAAAAGGAGCCGGTGTGCTTCGTACAGAAAATTTTCAACCACGCCGAGCAATTTTATTGCTTCGTCTCTCTGTAGAATCGAGAGCGATCGATCTTTTTATGCGGACTCTCTCTCATCTTCTCCGCGAAACAATTTTCTTCCCTGGCACGCCTAATCGAAACAGCACGCTGTCGAATTTAAACAACTGTTTAGCTACGCGTCGGAAAGTACTAACAGTTTTGCCGAAATTCCGTTTCTGTTCGAGTAACTTTGTCTAGGCCGTGTTTTGCTTCGTTTCGTTCGCGATAGTACGCTTAACATTTTATTTTTCAAAGAATGGTACCCCGGAATAACAGAGCCGTTTCAAAGTATCGTTTCGGTTGTACTTTTTGTATTTCGATAATGGTTCGAATCGTTTCCTAATTCGACTAGTACGAAACAATAGATCCAAACAACAGCGTTGCGCGCTAAACATTTTCCAATAAATTGCCGATATAACAATACCACTCCTGCAGTTTCATTCATTATTTCTCCCTTGTTTCTACGAGGCATGTACGTGATCGTTATCCGGTACGAGTTTATAGCGATAACAGATTCTGTGCTCGATATTAAATGTTCGCGTTATAACAAAAATTGCGCTGCCTTTATAGTTGCCGCATAAAATTTGTTTAAGCGACGGAGGTACAGCTCGAATTTTCGGAAAATAACACGCGTTGTACTTTACGAAGCGAGGGTGAAATTCGTCGGACGATGTCATCGTGGGATGGAAATAGTTTACGGGAGAAAGTGCATCGTCATGCGAGGACGTCGCGACGAACAAATAAAGTAATTGGAAATGATTGGCCGATTCGCCGCGAATTTCACCGGACGTGGTAATGTAACGAACAAGAGTTATCGGATATTATCGTTCACGCGAACGGCTTCGCTTTCGGAAATAAGGGTCGTAAAATGTTTACCCTGCGCGAAATCCCAGGGCCAGCGTGCTCCTCCCTCGCGATAACTCGTCCACGAAACCACCCTTCGCGCTATCGAGCTAGATTCGAACAGTCGAATGACTTTGCTTCTTCCAGAACCATTCGTCGAGAATTCTTTGCCACGATAAACGTTCGGCGCGCGTGTCGAATCGAAAAAGATCCTGTGGGAAAAACACTACGTATCTGTGCAAACTCTCTGACAGCGATTCCTTCCTCTTCGCGTGTTCTCGAAGTTGCTTCTAATCGTTCGCGCTCCGAGCGCCAATCTGGCCGAGATCGAGGCCGGTATCGTCGATGAAATTATACGGAAATTAATTAATGGGACAATCGAACGAACCTGAAAAATTTCAGTATAGTCGAATCTCCTTTTCCTAGGAAATGTATGCGCATTATCCTCAAACGGTGGATTAGTGGCCTATGCTCCCAAATTCTCGATTCGAAAATCGAGAAAACCCGAAGAAACGTAGAGTGACCGAGGAACGGGTGGCCCCTGTGCCTTCGTTGTCATATTTTCCCCGTGGATACCAAATTTGCTCTCGAACGCGCATTGTACAAGCAGACTTATCTTCTTGCCAGCGATTTCTCGAGATCGAGTTGGAATCGAATCGAGAAAAATACCAGGCTATTCGCGAACCTGCCTCCTGTCGTTGATCGAACGCGCGATCGAAGAAAACGAATCACCCTATTATAGGACGAGATAACATAATTTCTGACGCGTCGCGTGGTCAACGCGATTCTTTCGAGCACGCGTCGCAGTCTCTTGGAACTCCATCAACTATTTTAACGAGTTTATTATTAATTGCCGGGCAGAGAGGCAGAGCAGCGTATCGTTAAACGCGAACGCGTTGGTCGATCGGAGAAGAAAGAAGGCGGGAAACAGCATAAAATTTCAATGACTAACGCTTTTGTTCCCTCTCGTTCCTGGTTTGAATATTCAGTCTTCGCTTTATCAAACCCTATTTTTCATCGGTGCACCGCTAATACCGGAATAAAATTCGCCGTCGACTCTTGGACAAAGAACACCGGCCAACAAAGAGCAGAATTTTTTGCTCTTCGTGAAAAAGAGGACCTTTATCGTACTATAGATTTTAATTGCACGCAGTTCTTCGATACGGGTACACGCCAGCCGTGAAAACGTCGAATTTATCGAGGAGAAAATGAAGTTCCGGCTTATAAAAGTTTCGTTTCTGAAAAGCGAACGTAATCGACGATGCTTGATAGATAATAGAAATTACTGCTTATTCGTACACGACTCGGTTATCGCCGAATCAACGGGTAACTTGTTTAGCCTGATTTTTTCAAACTTTTCGCGTAATAGCTCGTCTTAATCGAATCTCTTTCATCGTTTCTCGGGCGTGAAAGCTTATTAAGTACGTGGCTCAAAAGCAGCTCGGAATAAACGATCCCCGCAGCAACAAAATCCTTCATTGTGGAAACGCGTCAGAGCAGAATCGAACCAAAGTCGAACACAACCGATGAAAAACAAAGAAACGCGTAATTTGATCGTGCGATAGAGTACCGTCCTCCAAAATTAACGGTTAATCGACGGAAAAGCTATTTCGATGAACCTGGTCATCGACCATTTGACGAACGTTCGATCGAAACGATAAAACTTAACGAAACATCGGCGTTTGATTAACCCCTTAAAAAATACAATAGTCTCAGCAGGGACTAATCACGCGTCGAGAGCAGCCGTCCGTCTATGAAACAAAATAACTATACGATAAACTATCGAATTCGAGACGCGGAAATGCAAGGAAGAGTTTTGATCGACGAGGGGTAGAAACGGCAGGGGGATGTATCAAAGTTTCGTTCAAGGACGCGAATTTGCAAGACGGTGGAACCACAGGGACCAAAAGTCAACGAAGACGCGAGCAGACTTAGTTCCGGAACAGATTCCTTCCAACCAAACTGATCTTCCTCTCGGAACGAGAAGCGCTCCCGGAAAATAAACAAAAATTCGGAGCATTCACCGTCGGATTCTACCGAGCGACCTCTGCGATATCGCATGGTCTTCTTTATTCCGTTACGAGTAACGATAAACGCGTTACTTCTCGAATATTCGAATAACAGTACCCAAACGACGATGTAATTTCTGTCGGTGTTTCATCGCGTTTTCTTCAAATTTCTTTTATGATCGACATATTTGTTACCATTTCAAAGAATCCTTGATCGAAATTGTTCGAATATTTCGCTATTGGATGTAGACGGCGAATCCCATACATCTACGCCAAGCTCGTATTGCTTTCCGACCCTTTGAGCACTCGTGTAACTTTCGAATAATATTTTGCAATGCTTTTTCTTCGCGTGTATCGTAAATTTCATAGTAACCGTACTAACATAAGAATGATCATTGAACCGACACGATTTATGTCGAAACTTTTACGTAAACCAATGTCATTGCGTCTACCGAGAATCGTGGTAAGTTTAAAAAAGATCCGCGATCGCGAAGTTTATCCGACGCGAACTAAAAGAAGCGACGCGTCGCCGTGTTCCGTCGCGGTGTTTGTGAGGGGAACGCAATGTCCTTGGGAAGGATTTTCCAAAGCACGATTCGTCGGCAAGAAGAAAATAAAAGAATATTGGCGCAGCTTACTTGCACGGGTCCCAGGTGAGGCCTCCGGGGCAATCCTCGTCCGTAAGAACGTCACACTCTAGGGGCGCGCACACGCACGAAAGAGCTCTCGCGACCGCGACCGAAAACACCACGATGCCTCCCAGCAACAGCAACGAGGACCTCATTTTTCACCTTTCTATCTGTAGCTCGACCGTCGGACTACACTCGAATACCGTCCTCCAGATACGCGTCAGTTCATCGCGGAAATCTCGCGGTACTCTGCATCTCGGCTCCTTCGAGTCGCTCAAGCTGCACGCGTTTCACCTTAACCGCTAATTATCGGTCTATCAGGGAATAAAAATTCTATAAACCGATCATCCGTTCGCGTCGACTCGTCTCGCTTAAAGTCGCAACGTTTCCGATTACCGTCGATATCACAATATTTTCCCAACGCTGAAAACATTTACATGGCCCGCAGCTATTTTTTACGCATCTACGTTGCGTAGAATTTACGTTCGAACGAGATACAACGCGAACAGGAGAAATGCGATTCGACGATCAAAATTTGTATCGCGCGAGCCGAAATCGCTAAAACGTATCCTCAGGATCGACGAACAAAATCGATGAACAACGTTAGCGAGAGGAATTGGCCGCTGTAACGTTACGCGCCGAATAGTTGACGGGGTTTGGTTGCAGGTACGATTAAATTACAAGGATAGGCGAGCATAGGGAAGAACCGCAGTGGCGCATACCGATCGGTGCGGCACGCTCGAATTTTGAGCAGCTGTGCTAAACGCGAGAATACTTTCGACGCGGATAGAGCGTGCCGCATTCGCGTGGCTTATTTCCCGACGGATGCATTCGGGTTAACAGGAACCGCGACGTACATGCATTATGGAAACACGCGCGTCCCGAGCCAGTCCCGAGATCAAATACGCCTATTCCCCGACTCGTTCTTACCAACCTGATCCCGAAAATTACTCTTTTCTCGCTGTCTCGAGTCAACTGGAAATCTATCGATCGATCGATACCTAAATCTTCGTCTAGTTCGTGCGCGAAAATTATTCGGGACCAGAATCAGCTTGTAACGATCGAAGTTGATTCATGAACAACGGCGAGGAAAAAGTTGCGAGAGAAAGAAACGGATCGTTTTGAAAATGCGAGATCCGATTTTATCGGCGAACGAACATTTGCGAGAATTTTCACGGCAATTCTCGCGGTAATTAGGACGAAAACGCGATCGACTCGGTTGTTGCGCTTTCACGCCGCCAACAACATCGCGCACAACCTCGGCGAAACGTTTTTCCGACGAAGAACAATACACGAGATACGCTCCGTGTTCTAAGCGAACGTGCACTGGCATCTACGACGCGCCGCGGCGCCGACCGCTCGGACGTT